TGTTGTGATTGGAAGGATCGGTCCTGTTGGGAGTTTTGACTCTGATGACTGTTAGATCGTGGATTGACGTCAGAACCAGGAAACGTTAATCTGAAGGGCAAGCCAGTTAATTAGCACGTTGCCTTAATGGGTATAAAAGGACACAGCTGAGCTGGTGCATTTCGCCAGGAACAAAATGACTATTTTGAATGAGGACGTTACAGTAAAGAGCTCTCTGTTTGTTTGAATTTCGAAGGGGAGTCCTAACAGTTTCTGCCAGTCGTTATCTTGTTATTTCCTTCAGTTTGATTTGATTGTGAAACGGCTGCTTTATGTTTGTTCGTTTGAATTTCTAAGAGGAGACATAACATTCATGCATGAGGCAATCTATGCTATGATTGGTTGTCATAAGTATAAAGGGGGACTTTCCCCTTTTTTCCCACTTCTATTTTTCTTCTCTGTCTTCTGTATACTGTTTTAATTTGCCTCATGATATTCCTCTGTACCCTGACTGAGTTTTTTTCTTTTCTGGATGATGACAAAGGCTACTGTAAATTGGAAATATATATACAAGTTTGTGTCAGTGACATTACCTGGAAAAGTGCTATGCAATTCCTTGACAATACAGATGGATCCAAAGTTATTTTTTTCCAATCAGTTCATACTTAAAGAGAGCCTTTTGGGGGGAGAGAGACCAGGAGGAGATCCAGCTAGCATCCACGAAAGCTCTTTTTCTCTCAAAATGCTTCTTTTTGATCAGTACTTTTATGAAGCTTCCTTTTTTTTCCCCAAAAATTTTATTGATTTTTAAAAAACAAACAAAAAACAAACGAAACACAAAACATGAAAACATAAAACATCTTTTTTGAAAGCAGCTTGATCCTGGGTTACATCTCTTCATACAGACACAAATTCAAATTCGTGCTCTGTTTCTTTACATCTGATGTATAAATTCCAGAAGCCCCAAAGTCACCAAACAATCCAAATACAACAAGTTGTTTCATTTAACACTTTCTTCTTTTTTCACCTTCTCTTCCTGGGGTTACTATTTAGTTACAAAGTTCCAGTTAAAATGTATGTTTTAGAAGTCTTATTACGATTTAACTTTAGATTCTTTTAAATTCCAAGCAGCCTCCTCCAGCCAAATCTTGCTCTTATTCTTTTCCTCTCCCTTCCAACTTACGGCAAAAAAAAAAGTTTTTTAAGTGTTCAGAAATCTTTATTGTCCCCTTTGCATTTCATTTTCCAGTTTAATTACCTGTTGATGCCAAAGCGGGGTTTTTCCGATTTCTCATTCATCTGCTGTCAACGTAAGGAAGGAGAGTGAGAAAAAAAACTTTCCCTTTTCACTTTCATTCGCGGCTTCCGAATCTTCTTTGGGAGCGATGTATCTTTTATAGAGTTTAAATTCCTGGATACCTCAGTTGTTGCTTCTTATCCCAGTCAGCCAAAACTTTCACTTCTTAACTTCCTCCTGCCCTTTCTTTTCCGGCTGCATGCTTCTTTGAGGCGGCCATTTCTGACCGCCGCTCTTACTGCCTTCAGGAAAGGGAGTTTAGCCAGCTGAGAAGGAAAGATGCGGCTTTCCTGAACCCTGCTGGAGTCTCCCCCATCTTCACCACCTCTACGGGGTGGCTTAGCCCCGAAGCCAAACTAGCTCGGGGCGTTCCAACAGCGAGCCCAAGCAGAAACCGCGCAGGATCACGGATTCCTGCCTGTCGCCGAAGCCCTGCAAACCGGAACTTCATCAAGCTTCCTGATCAGATAATGGCCAGTCCTTTCCTGTCCGCCTACTTGGAAAACAAGAGCAATTTCTCAATCAGAGGGATCTTCCACTCAGCCAAATCTTCTCATGGTTTCAAGAGTTTCTCATATTAGATGTTTCTTCTTGGGGGTCTCCTCTCACAAGACCAGCCCGGCCCATTCTCCTCAGCTTACTTCTCGATCTTCTGCCAGCTTCACGAGTCGCTCGTGGCGTTTGGATTCACAGGAACAACATACACCCTCCTCAACTGATAGTGCCCCCGATCCCTGCTCTGGGTTGGAGCTAACATCTTTTAGAGGGAAGAAAAACCGCACTCACTTGTTGCTGCTTTGTAGCCATCCAAAGATTTATCTGCAAGTGGGAAAAAAAATTAGTGAAAAAAAAAATCCGTCAGAGATCATCCATCACATCTAGAGTACTGCATCCAGTTTTGGTCACCACATTATAAAAAAAGATGTTGAGACTCTAGGAAAAGTACAGAGAAGAGCAACCAAGATGATTACGGGACTGGAGACTAAACTATATTAAGAAGGGTTACAGCAGGAGTCCCCAAACTTAGTAACTTTAAATTGTGGAGTTCAACACTCAGAATTCTGGGAGTTGACGTCCACAAGTCTTAAAGTTGGGAGACCTCTGGGTTACAGGAACTGGACATGGCTAGTCTAGGGAAGAGAAGGACTAGAGGAGATATTATAGCAGTCTTCCAATATTTGAGGGGCTGCCACAGAGAGGAAGGGGTCAAGCTATTTTCTAAAGCACCCAAAGGCCAGAAAAAGAATAATGGATGGAAACTGAACAAGGAGAGATTCAACCTGGAAATAAGGAGAAACTTTCTGAAAGTGAGAACAATCAACCGATGGAACAGAAGTTGCCCTCGGAAGTTGTGGGAGCACCATCAGTTGAGACTTTCAAGAAGAGATTGGACTGGCATTTGTCAGAAATGGTGTAGGGTCTCCCGCTTGGGTGGGGGGTTGGACTAGATGACCTACAAGGTCCCTTCCAACTCTGATGGTCTGTTATCTGTTAGCAATAAACAGACACAGGATCTACAGCAGGGGTGTCAAACTTGCATTGTCACATTGTCACATGACGTATTACAGCCTTTCTCCCCTTCGCTAAACGGGGGTGGGCATGGCCAATGCGTGATGCGGCTGCGAGTTTGACAGTCCTGATCTACAGGGCTACAAACATCTGATTTTCCCCAAGAGCGACCTGCTGCCTCCAAAATGGAGGAGAAATGGGGGAAAGCTCCCAATTTTCCTTGAAATCTCTATCTGCTGCCCTTGGACTAAAGCTGTTGAACAAGACAGAACTGTGCTGCCTCTTCACAACTCAAGAAGAAGACAGGACTGTCAGAACCTCAAAGTCAGTGGAGCTAAGACTGGAGTTCAAAAATGGCTGGGAATAAAAGCTTCCTACTCAAGTAGGAGACCCTATGCCATTTGTCCAGCCCCTTCGGTTGTCAACGTTTCAGCAACCCTCCATTCCAACCAATAACTCCAAGACAGACATCTCTCAAAAGTTCCTTTTATTTGGATAGTAAACTGGCACATGTGTGGAATCCCAAATCTGGAAGTTCCGGGCTTCCTTGCAATAAGTAAAAACTACAAATCCATCCCCTATATACCCATCACCACATCACATGGCTCAATCATCATCCGTCCCAAAGGAAGGCTTCCTTTTCACGATGCGCAACACTACATGACCTTGAATCGGCAAAAGAATTTTATTTTGTCTAACTAAACAGATAACAAATAATCAGAGTTGGAAGGGACCTTATAAGTCATCTAGTCCAACCCCCTGCCCAAGAGGAAAACCCTACACCATTTCTGACAAATGGCAGTCCAATCTCTTCTTGAAAGTCTCAACGGATGGCGCTCCCCCACAACTTCCCAGGGCAACTTCTGTTCCATTGGTTGATTGTTCTCACTGTCAGAAAGTTTCTCCTGATTTCCAGGTTAAATCTAGATATACTCCAGGTTAAACTAGATATACTCCAATGAATTCCCCTCCCCTCCCACTTTCCCAGGCTCAATTGTGGCAGCGTGGGAGCATCGGATCTCAATATGACTCCCAAAGCTGACATCAGTGCTCCAGTGTTGCAGCACCCACAATTTCTGAAGGAAGCCCAGAAAAAGGCCCCCAAAGAGAGAGATTTGAGAGGAATTCCCCATCTTCCTTCGATCACCCTCAAAAAAAGATACTTACTGAAGAATACCAGGATCCCAGCAAACACACTCGCCAGGACAAGAGCAGCCACAACGCAGCCGATGAGGATCCCCAGGTTGGATTTTGGTTCTGAATTGGGAGAAAGAGCAGATCATTGAAGGAGAACCCCAAACAATCCTCCCAATTAAAGGAGAGACTTAATGCAGCCCTAGGGCTGGAAGCCCCCCAAATTAATAAGTCTAAGGGCCACATCTTCATGTCCCTCTAACTATAGCATGAAGACCCCTTGCTAATCATTGTTAAAAGACATGTCCTCATGACACTGCCTTCTTCTCACACCAGCCCATCCTGAAGGCAGCTGATATTCCTCTTTAGTTGTTTAGCTCAAAAACAGCAGTTGGCAATCGTATGACTCTTAGCACTTTATAGAAACAAGAAGTTCAACAACACAAGCATGCCCCTTCCCTAAGGTATAAAGGAGGTACAAAGGGACAGGAACCTTTGCAGGAAGCAACGTTGTTCACTCTGGTCGGTTTGGAACCTGAAAGCTCCATGGTGAATTTGTGCTCCGTTTGGTTTTGGAAAGACTAATTGGGAAAGACTAATTAGTCATTGGCAGCACTTCAAGAAAGATAATTCTTCTGAAGGACTTTGGCAAACTTCCACGGGACTATTTATAATTGGTTGAGACTCATTCTGGGCTGTGAATGACAATAATTCACAGCCGTTGAACTAAAATAAAAGGGTTTTGGATTGAACATGTGTTTGTTAGTGTCTCAGGAAGCCTTGGTCAGAACACTGCCACAGCTGAAAATGGGCCCCCCCCCCCCGGACCCTCCCCCCCTGGACTCCAGTTTCACTCGCAGAGGCACCGCAGACCGGGCCGTTGCTATTACCAGGGCAGCCCCATCGGCCAGATCTAAACACTCCCCCCAGCCTGCGGGCCTTAATTTGACACCCCTTTTTTTACTAGGAACCTTTTCCAATTGCTCCAAATCCGCATTAATGGCTGTTGCCAGAACTGGAGGTTCTCCTTGAGGCAAGTTCTGATCATGGTACCGGTAGAACACAGGAGAAAAATTCCCATCCTTTGGAACTTACAATTTATTTGGAGTAGCCTAAAACTGATCCTTTGAAGGTATTTGATGCTCTTATTCAGTCTCCTCCCTGTCAGCCCCGGATCCATCTTTGGACAGATTTCAGGACTTGGGGGATGGGCAAGCTGTGGGAATGGGAGAGTAGCGAAGGGAGTATATAGCCATAACAACATTCTTTTACCGGAGATCAAGGACGAGTTGCTGGCACCTGGAAGGGAGTGACCAAAGGCAGCCGAGACAGGAGATGGATTGGCCCACGTGAAGTGGAGGCCACTTAAATGGGGCAGGGTGTGAGTTTTAGTGTGGCGTAGGGAAGCACAGGATCTCAGATTCGGGTGTCAACTCATAAAATGATTCTATGGTCTTTTTAGAGTTGCCAACAGAAAGGGAGGTGGGAGCAGTGCAGCAGCTTGCAAAACGGAAACTGCATTCCGTAAATGTTTTCAAAGATAGTAACGAGGTGACTGAAATTTCTGCTGCAAAATTCTAACTGGAGAGCATGATTGATGACTCTTGGCTATGGATGTGTCCCATTGGAGAATATGAATTGCGATACACCCAGGGGGTGGGGGGAAAACCAGGGTCAAGGGTGACAATGGATTATGTGTCTCAGAGTTGGCTACACCGACGCAGTGCCGGTATGTTAACTCTCAATAAATCCTTTTGAAGTTTTGGAAGTTGGGCTAGAGACTCATGATTTAAATGGGGGTAACTGCCGGAATCCTGACATCAGGTTTTCCCTTCAATGTGCCAACATGACTTCTCTAATAAATTCTTACTGTGATGGACTTTGTCTCGGGAGTTCTGAATGGTATGGAGAGTTTCCTTGGAACACTGACACTCTCTTTGTAGTCCCCTTTTCCTGGGCCACCCCTTCCCCCCTAATTTCCGGTGAATCTCTTATCTGGCGATCATCCGCTGGATAAGTACCACTCCTGCAACCATCCTGAGCATCCTGGTCATTTGGTGCCGCCTCCCAGGATGTCCCCAGCCAGTTGCTGTTGACCCTGGGGCTCCAATCAAGCCCCAGGATGCCTGCAAATGAACGACTCAACCTCTTACCTTTCAGGGCCATATCCAGAGGCTCCTGCAGGCTGTCGTGCTCCACGTGGCACCGATAGCGGCCCCTCTCTTTGGGGTCGATCTGGATGCTGAGCCAGTAGTGGTAGGTCCCATCCGCGTTGGGGACCAGAGACCCATGGAAGGTCTCCTCCAGCCAGACCTCCCCGTCCCTCCTCCAGGAGGCATCGATCTCCCTGGGGTAGAAGCCATCCAGGCGGCAGATGTGCGTCTCCATCCCATCCTCCACCTCTGTCCTTCTGGTCATTGTCACCACTGGGGGCTCTGCAGAAAAGACGCACACACACACCAGCATTAACACTGGATTTCCACACCAGCTGACAGAATAGCTGTGTCTTTTTCCAGGACTGCCTGGAACATGTGCACCGGGAGAGGGTATTCAGCAGGTTCGGACCAGTTCTGGAGAGCGACAGTGAAAATTTTGAGCAGTTTGGAATTCCACCTCTGACTGGCCCCTCCCCCACCTATTCTCTGCCTCCCGAGTCCCAGCTGATGGGCTGGGTAACAGGTGACAGATCATCAGAGTCGGAAGGGACCTTGTAGGTCATCTACTCCAACCCCGCGCCCAAGCGGGAGACCCTACACCATTTCTGACAGATGGCAGTCCAATATCTCCTTGAAAGTCTCAAGTGATGAAGCTCCCACAACTTCTGAGGGCAACTTCTGTTCCATCGGTTGATTGTCCTCACTGTCAGAAAGTTTCTCCTTATTTCCAGGTTGAATCTCTCCTTGTTCAGTTTCCATCCATTATTCCTTGTCTGGCCTACAGGCGCTTTAGAAAATAGCTTGACTCCTTCCTCCCTGTGGCAGCCCCTCAAATACTGGAAGACTGCTACCATGTCTCCCCAGGTCCTTCTCTTCCCTAGACTAGCCAGGCCCAGTTCCTGCAACCGTTCGTTGTATGTTTTAGCCTCCAGACCCCGAATCATCCTGGTTGCTCTTCTCTGTACTTTTTCTAGAATCTCAACATCTTTTTTTATAATGTGGTGAACAAAACTGGATGCAATACTCTAGGTGTGGTCTTCTTTTGTTGCCCTGCACAGGAGAACAGAGCTGGAAAGCAGATTAGTGGGGTAGGGAGGGACTGGGAATTTTGCAGACAACTTCCCCCAGAGTGGGGTGGGAATGGGGATTTTACGGTATCCTTCCTCTGCCACACCCACCAAGCCCACAGAACTGGTAGGAACGTTTTTTGAATCTCACCACTGATGTACAATTTTAGCAAAGAAAAAAAAAACCTGAGCTGTTTGAAATGACTGGAGACTAAAACATATGAAGAACGGTTAGAGGAACTGGGCATGGCTAGTCTAGTGAAGGACCAGGGGAGACATGCTAGCAGTGTTCCAATATCTGCCACAGAGAGGAGGAAGGGGTCAAGCTATTTTCTAAAGCGCCCAAAGGCCAGACAAGGAATAATGGATGGAAACTGAACAAGGAGAGAAATTCAACCTGGAAATAAGGAGAAACTTTTTGACAGTGAGGACAATCAACCGATGGAACAGAAGTTGTCCTTGGAAGTTGTGGGAGCTTCATCACTTGAGACTTTCAAGAAGAGATTGGACTCCCATCTGTTAGAAATGGTGTAGGGTCTCCCGCTTGGGCAGGGGGTTGGACTAGATGACTCAAAAGGTCCCTTCCAACTCTGATGATTTATTATCTGTTTAACAGGTCAAATATTTGCCACACCACCTCTAAAAGGCACCTCCTCACCTTTGGAACGTAAAGGCTACACGGTGCCACTGCTATCTTATGATTTAGGAGCAGGGGTTTAACACTGATTATAAGACCTTCGTAAAAACTGCCTAGAAGAGGATTTTTGTGAAGAGGTTGGGGAGAGATTGGGAAAGGAAGGAGATGGCAAGTGGGCAACTTAGCTGATTTTCTTTCTAACTAGGTCTGCAACGCAAAGGTGCATTTTCCCAAGAGACAACTGGACTTTCTTATTTTTCTTTCCAGACGTTTCACTTCTCATCCAAGAAGCTTCTTCAGCTCTGATTGGATATTGAGGGACGGAAGGATTTGGGTTCCACACCCACTTGCACTACTCAGGTGACTCTGAGGACACTGATAAACCTCCAAGTGGCCTTAGCGACTCTCTAAAATAAAGCAAATGACCAGCTGTCTGCAAGGAGCACCAATCCTTCCATTCCCCATCATCCAGTCAGCGTGGAAGAAGCTTCTTGGATGAGAAGTGTTTTTTCTTCTTTTCAAAGAAAAAAGAAAAAAAATGTCCTGTTGCTTCTTGGAAACAATATATATTATATTAGACCTGCAACTAATATTAAGCAACATTTCATTGATTATTTCTTTAAAAAAATAGAACTGAAAAGATGCACACCAGAAGTGCAGAACGGGGACTATAAAGGGAGTGCCAGCCATCCCAGGTAGACCCAAAATGAAAAAAACCAGATGAGCTACTATTTTTACGGTAAATGTCAACTCATAAAATATTTCTCTGGTCTTTTTTAGAGTTGCCAACAGAAAGGGAGGAGGGAATAGTGTAGCAGCTGAAAAACTGAAACTGCATTCCATAAATGTTTTCATAGATAGTTTCCAGGCAACCAAAGTTTCTGCCTCGCAAAATTCTAATTGGAGAGTATGCTTGATGACACTTGGCTATGGAGGTGTCCCATTGGAGAATATGAATTATGACATACCCAGGGTCAAGGGTGACAATGAATGATGTGTCCCAGAGTTGGCTACACCGGCATGCCTTTTCCTAATAAATCTTCTCTGAATTTCTTTGAAATTCAGGCTAGAGACTCATGATTTAAATGGGGGTCACTACCGGAGCCCTAACAGTAAGTCTACTTTAAGAGTATCTTGCATGTCTGAAAATACTAATCTTTGCATGCACCTTTGGTACGCACCTTACTAAGACCTGGTGTAACTTTTTAAACAAGGGGCCTACAAGCTTTATCATGCTTAGGGCAGTGATCCCCAACTTTCTGGCGTAGGGGCCCAGTGGGATGAGGAGAGGGAATAGTTCTGTGGGAGTGGCAGGCACCTGCATGAACATGCGTACCTCCGTTTGCTGGCTCAGTGGATGTGCACGCCCACTGCTGGTGCCAAATGGCGCTTCACAGGTGAGCACGAGCACTTAGCCGCCTGCGCAGATGGAGCTTCACTCACGAGGCCGAGAGCTTGCTGCTCACACAAGTGGAGCGGTGTGTCACATGCTTGCCCGCCACTCTCACAGCCTGGTTCCAAACGTCCCGAGCTCGGTAGTCCAGGACTCCTGGCTTATGGCAACGTTTCTCAAACTTGGCCACTTGAGAGTCAGGTAGACTTCAACTCCCAGAATTCCCCAACCAACATTGCTGGTTGGGGAATTCTGGCAGGGATGGGATGCTACCGGTTCGGACCGGTTAAAGTTACAGCGAGTTCGCCGAACCAGTATTTCAAACGACTGGCTGGCCCCGCTCACCTCTCCCCTCCCCGGAGTCTCCACAAGGCCCATTTTCAATGAAGGTAAGTGCAGGGTCTGCTTGGAGGCTCTGGGAGGGGGGAAAAAGGGCCCTTCTAGAAGTCTGGAAACGGGCCTTTTTCTGGCTTCTGGAGGGCCTCCAGAGGCCAGGGGAGGCTGTTTTCGCCCTCCCAGAGGCCCGGGGGAGGCCTCTGGACCCTTGGGAGGGTGAAAATGGCCTCCCCCGGGCTTTGGAGGCCCACTGGAAGCCAGATATAGGAAGTTCTGGTACGCCCCTTCCACCCAGCAACCGGGCAGCGAACTGGTTGCTGAGATTTTTGAATCCCCCCTCTGAATTCTGGGAGTTGAAGTCCACACATCTTCAGATTTGCCATGGTTACGAAACAATAGCTTAGGACCTCACCTCATGCAATATAAATCCAGCACAGTTATTTCTCCTCCCCCTTCAGGGCACGCACCTGTCCACGGCAGCATCTCTTTCCTCCTATAGGAGAGGTACTTCTTCAACCACTCAATGCATTCCTCCTCCAGGTACAATTTATTTCTCTGGGACCACCGCAAATTAGCATCCCAATTCATCTTGGTGATCTGGGCCTGCGGGTCGGGAGCCACCCAGCTCAGGGTGTCTTTATTGAAGATGAGGAAGCTCCTCCCGTCGTAGCCGTATTGCGAATAACCTCTTATGCTTCTGTTTCCTCTGAGCTCGCAGCCATAAGCGGTCTGCCATATGTGAAACCCTGAGGAGAAAAAAAAAATCACAAAAGGAGTAAGGAAGGGCCTGAGTGGCCCCCTCCACAGAAACTCCCACCAAAGAGGCTCACTTTCCTTTCATCCCACCAAAGGACCACAACTCCAGGGAGTAAACTATTCCATTGCTTAATAGTTACTGACATTTCAAGGCTTCCCATCCCCTGAGATCAGATGGTCTTCTCTAAATCTTCCACAGGCTGGATCGTGTCCTATCTTCAGGCATCCTAGGGAGTAAATCTACATCTTCTTAATTTTATTTATTTACTACTCTGAAGTCAATCAATCAGAATCGAGCTGGAAAGAACTTTGGAACGTCTTCTAGTCCGACAACCTCTTCAAGCAGGAGAACCTATAATACCATTTCAGACAAGTGGCTGTCCAGTCTCTTCTTAAAAAACCACCAAGTGGCTGGAGAATTCTGGGAGTTGAAGTCCACGAGTCTTAAAGTTGCCAGGTTTGGGGACCCCTGCTCTAGAGGCCTGCCTTGCCTTGACCGCTTGAGTCATGACACCCGTGGACCTCAATTCCCAGAATTTCTGAGCCGCCCAGAATTCTGGGAGTTGAAGTCTACAGGTGGGAAAGAGCCCACAGTTGTCCACCTGTCTAATTCAATGGGTTGAAAGAAAAAAAACAAACAAACCCAAATACAGGTCTTACAGACCCATTAGTTCTTCTTACACAAGTTATCCACCACTACCAGGTGCCCGATTCTGCCTTTGCTCACCTCTATACTGCTTGTAGCGGTGTTGGACATTCCTTAGGTCTTCTTGTAACACTTGCTCGGTGGCCCTCAAGATGTTGCTTCCATCCTTCCAATAGTCGGGATCATCCTTTTCCACCTCCTTCATCCAGGACACCTTTGGTATTTTCTCCTTCTTCTGGCTGTCATAGTAAGTGATGAGCTGGCCATCCAGATAGCCCATCATGAAGAACTGGGGCAGCCCCTCACTGGGCTCGGATACCACCACGTACTGATACTGCAGAGAGTGCTGGGAAGAGCCTAATAAGGAAGAAGAGGGAGATGAGAAACAGGGGATTCTTAAATTCTGGACATCCTGTCAGGCCTGCCCCACAGGCGGGCTCCCTCAGGAAAACAAAGACTCTGGAATCCACCGGATTGAATCACAAGAACTTTTACTGAAAGAAACTGGTTGCAAATCAAGTCAGGCGGATTCTGAAGTTCCCACAGAAAACAAAAGCAATTCTTTCAGTCCCCCACTGAGAAGTCCACTGGTAGCCAATGTGATGCCGAGAAGGTCAGCCATATTTTACTTAGAAGCTTCCATGCTGCCACATCTTAGTGCCTGGGAATTTGTGAGGGGGGATTTCACAGACGGGGGAAGTTTAGACACAGCAACATTCTTTCCATAAAGTCAAGGACAAGTTACCCTGCACCTGGGAAGGAGTGGCTGGAGGAATGTCTCCAGTTGGGACGATGAGTGATTGGTCCATGTGATGGACTGGTGGGCACAGGGGTTGGGGGGGAAACCCAGAACTCTCAGATTTGGGTTTCCTCAGATGTGTCATTATGACTTCTTTAATAAATTCTTACTTGGATGAACTTTGTTTCTGAGTGCTGAATGAAATGGGAAGTTTCATTGGAACGCTGACAGAGAAGATGTTTTGAGAATGCTGAGGTGCCAGGCAGATAATGGTTCACACTCAGGGTGTGACAGCCTTGGAACCTGGCAAAAACAGCTGGGAAGGAGTCTGTCCCGTCTCCAAAGACTATTCCCTTCTGTAATTCCCAGGAGCACAGCGGCAGTGGAAAAATCCCAAGCATACTGTTAGGAATATAAGTCACCTAACAGTTGGGTTGGAAAATATATAAACCAGAATAAACATTTTAATACTGTCTCTTTAAGAGAATGCTAAAATTGTAATTGGGTGTGGTTCCTCAAACAGCCATAAGATGGAGTCAGAAACCTGGGTTGTTTAGTCCTGTTCTGTTGTTGCTGAGAGTGTTGCCGTTCCTGCATTTCCCTTATGACTGTTACTGATCATCGTTATTCTTGGATTTGATATAAGTTTGTTACTGAACTGTTTATGATATTGGACTTTGTTATTGGATTATCCCTGGATTGAATAACCGTGTATGATTTTGACTGTGTTTGGACTTTGCTTAAACGTTTACTGGAAGTAAAACCTACATTTTACTATACAGTGTAGCTGTGTCCTGTGTGTGTGTTATTCAACATTACTCTCACTACGTCTCCCTGTGTGCACTCATTCTCCTAACGGGGAATTACCTCAACACATACCCCCCTCACAGCACAATGGCAAGACACCAGAATACGATGGTGGACTTGACACATTTCTCCAATCTTCACAAAGTGCCCCTCAAATTAGAAGGCCACCATCTTTGTGCTTGAAATGCTTTACGATTCTGTCTCAAAATCTGGGAAATGCAGATTTTGGCTGATGGTCAGATCAAGCTAAGCCGACTCTAGTCAGTGAGAGGTCCTTGGTGTTCTCTGAGCTTGGTGGTTTTTGTACAGATGTTTCATTAAACAAACTAGGTAACAACACAGGTGGGAAGAGGACAACTCACTGCAGCCAGGTGGGTGTAACTGGGTGGATGTGGCCATCAGGTGTGTATGGCTGGGTGGGCGTGGCCAGGTTGATGTGGAGGATTAGTGCAGCTGGCGCAGGATGGCTGACTCGGCGTGGCCAGGTGGATGCAACCACGTTGGTGTGGCTGGTTGGGGGATGCCAGGTGGGCAGGGCCAGTTGGGCACAGAACAAGAAGAAAAATGGAACATTTCTGCAATTGGAGAGGTGGATACATCCATCCAGCCCTCCTGTCCCTTTCAAACTTTGCAGGGAAACTTCTCCTCAGAAGGAAGGAAGGAAGGAAGGAAGGAAGGAAGGAAGGAGGGAGGGAGGGAGGGAGGGAGGGAGGGGAGGGAAGGGAAAGGAAAGGAAAGGAAAGGAAAGGAAAGAAAAGAAAAGAAAAGAAAAGAAAAGAAAAGAAAAGAAAAGAAAAGAAAAGAAAAGAAAAGAAAAGTGTTTCTACAAATTTTCCTACAAAATATTTTGTATACACAACACCTGTCATGTGGTTAGTTTGGATGCTTGGCAACCAATTTGCATTTACAACCGGTTGCAACATCCCACAATCATGAACTGCAATACAATCATTAGTTTAATGACCATCTGAAGTTACATGGGCACTGAAAAAAAGTCATTTATGACCAGTCCTCACGCTTACGATGGTTGCAGCATTCCTACAGTCATACGGCCAAAATGCTTGCAGTATCCTGGGGTCATAGGATCACCATTTGAGATTTTCCAACCAGATTCTGGCAAGCTAAGTCAGTTGAGGGGTAGAGGGGAAGCTGGATTTCCTTAGCGACCTCATGATCCGCTTAATAACTGTGGCAGGAAAGATCGTAAAGTAGGCCAATACTCACTTAACAACAGTCTTGCTTAGCAATGGGAATTTTGGTCTCAACTGTGGTCGTACAGCGAGGACTACCTGTTATGCCCGTTACTTCTTGTCCTGCCCTCAGGATGCTTTGAAGAAGATTAGAGATTAGAATAACAGAGTTGGAAGGGACCTTGGGGGTCATCTAGTCCAGCCTCCTGCTCAAGCAGGAGACCCTACAGGATTTCTAACAAGTGGCTGTCCACTTTCTCCTTGAAAGCTTCCAGTGATAAAGCACCCACAACTTCTGAAGGCAAGCTATTGTTGGTTAATAGTTCTCAGAAAATTTCTCTTTATTTTTATATTAAATTTCTCCTTGTTCAGTTTCCATCCATTATTCCTTGTCTGGCCTTTGGGTGCTTTAGAAAATAGCTTGACCCCTTCCTCCTCTCTGTGGCAGCCCCTCAAATATGGAAAGACTATTATCATATCTCCCCTGGACCTTCTCTTCACTAGACTAGCCAGGCCCAGTTCCTGCAACCGTTCTTCATACGTTTTAGTCTCCAATCCCCTAATCATCCTGGTTGCTCTTCTCTGTACTTTTTCTAGAGCCTCAACATCTTTTTATAGTGTGGCGACCACAACTGGATCTAGGTGTGGCCTTACTAAGGCTTTATAGAGAGATACTGCTGGGAGAAAAATCCAGTCCCAGTTTCAAGATGGGAATAAAATGGAGGCTGGTTGGAAAGAAAGATTCTGTTTATTGATGAAAGGAACCCAAAATAGCTCGTGGTTCTGGGACAGCTGACCAAATGGTTGAATGAGTGGATGAATCTCTATAGGTTTCTGTGACTTTGAAGTTTCAACTGCTCTGGGGGTTTGTGTCTTTTCCTTAAATGGTGGTGGGTTAATCTTATTATGTCCTAAAATGTCCTGACCTGTCCTCCTTAATCCCATCATCTTGGAACTGATGGTGTTTTGTTTATGAATAGATTGGCCCAGATTTCTTAAATGGGCGCAAATAATCATTTTTACAGATTTCTTGCATCTGCTGGAGGCTGTTTTACTATGCAGGAAGCTCCATTTCTCCTTTGGGAAAATATAATATTCTGCCCCTTTTAATATTCCCCAAAATATTTCATTCTCAAGGATGGTGGGTGGGTACTGAGTTTCCACAACAAGAGTCTTCAAACTTGACAGCTTTAAGACTTGTGGACTTCAACTCCCAGAATCCCTGAGCTGACATGTCTGGTGGAGGAATTCTGGGAGTTGAAGCCCACAAGTCTTAAAGCTGTCAAGTTTGAAGGCCCTTGTTCTACAAGGTTGATTCCCCTCTTCTCTGTGACAATCCCTCAGATGTCAGAAAACTGCTACCATGTTAGTCCTGCTCTTCATTAGACTAAACGAAGGGTCTTCAAACTTGGCAAGTTTAAGACTTGTACACTTCAACTCCCAGAATCCCTGAGCTAACAGGACTGAAGGAGGAATTCTGGGAGTTGAAGTCCACTAGTCTTAAAGGTGTCAAGTTTGAAGACCCCTGGACTAGACATACCCAGTTCCCATGACCGCTCATCATAGAGTTTAATCTTGTACAATAGAACAGCTTTATGTGGGAAAAATAAATGCAGTCTTTGTATCTATGTTCTGTACCATATTAAGAAAGCCCCTCAGAATGTCCCTTCTGGGGGAAAGGAGGAGTTGGGCCTTGAGGAAGAGGGTTGGGGAAGGAATTTCTGTGTAGTTTCAGCCCATTTTGCGTTTTCAGAACACAATTCTTAACCGTGACACCGAAACTACAGAAGTTCTCTTTCCCTCCACAAGGTGGCAGCACCAACATGAGTACTGTCAATTCTAGGCTCTAAGCCAGGTCAAATGTTTTGAATCCTGTTCCTCTTTCCCCAGAGATGCAAATCTATATTAAAATTCTAGACATGGGAAAAACAAGGATTGCCTTACAAGAAGGAGGGCCAAGCTCAAATTACTATGTCATGGATTCCACCAGGCAGGGGCGTGCATACTGTCCTATGGTTTCCTTTATTTTTATTTTTTATTTTTCTTCTATGTATCCATAACTATGTTTTTACTTATACCTATCATCTTGTAAGCAATTGACAAAAATAAATAAATAAAAAGACACCGGCAGTAACCGCTTCAAAGGAGATCAAAGCAGGACAGAAGGAGTGTCCTGGACTCCCTCTGCAGGGAGATTTCAACCTTCAGGATCTTTTAAAAGAGCGTTTCTCAAATGGCGACTTGTAAGACATGCGGACAAGATCACAAGATACAGCCAAAGGAGAAACATTTGCAAGGGAAAGAAAACACAGCTTGCCTCACATTGAGAGGACATGTGAAAAATAAAGAGAGAGAGAGGCAGAAAGACAGACAGAGAGAAGAGAGGGAGAGAGGGAAAGAGAAAGAAAGAAAAAGAAAGAAAGAAAGAAAGAATTGGTGACTAAATTCACAATACTATTTTCTTCCTAATGATTCAAAATGTTGATTCATCTCAAAACAGCTCATCAATCTAAAAATATCTGCGGTGGAAACCAACCCTTGGTCTTACAGGGTTTCCTTTGAACAGTCATTCATTCTCTCCCCTCATACCTTGTCCATTAGAAGGCAGTTAAATTCTACCGACTTCCTGCTGTTTGATCCTGACCAGCTCCAGGTTGACTCAGCCTTTCCTCCTTCTGAGGTGCGTAAAATGAGGACCCAGATTGGTGGGGACAAATAGGCAAGGACTCTGTAAACCTGCTTAGAGCAGGGATGTCAAACTCTCAGCCCACGGGCCGGGATGCTCACAGTCACACACACACCCCCGACTTAGCAAAGTGGAAAAACGGTTACGCTACATCACCTGACATGACGACGTGAGTTTGACACCCCCTGACTTAAAAAAGCGCTGTAAGTAGTATTTAAGTCTAAGTGCTATTGCTTTTTTTTTTTTTTTAACATCAACCCAAAATCATCCCTTTGTGCTCTAGGGCTCTTCTAGTGAACGGAAATATCAGCCACACACACAAAAGAAACCCTTATGGCAATAATATTATTTGATATTTAAGATGCCACGAAACCTTTGGATCTCAGTCACAAACCACAAGGCTCAAATGACCAAAGCTATCACAAGTAATCCTCAGCTTATAGCCACAATTTGACCCCAAGATTTTTTTGTTGCTAAACGAGACATTTAGGAAGTGAGCTCAGCTCCATTTTACGACCTTTCTGGCCACCATGGCTAAGTCAGGGGTGGTATGCTACCGGTTCAGCCCTGTTCTGCCCAGCAGCAGAGACCGAAACTTCCATACTCACCTTTATCTTCTGCTTTTGAAGCGCAGCTGCTTTGTGTGGCGCAGAAGAGTGCCACGCGGCAGCTGCTGAACGCCTCTGCGCCTGTGCAAAGTGAGTGTTTGGGGAAATGCATGCATGCAAAGCACGCCCACCAAGCCACGCCCACCAAACCGCTAGTAAGTTATTGAATCCCACCACTGGGCAAAGTGGATGCTTTCAGTTGTTAATAATGCAGCGTTTAAATAAAACTGGCTTCCCCATTGACTTTACTGGTTAGAACAGGTTATTCTCTGTTATCCAGGTAGAGTTTTGGGGAAGTTGAATCAGTGTAACTGGCCTTCTTTTATTTTCGCTTTGGCTCGAAAGGTTTGCTGCTTATCCAAGTGTTAAGTTTTCGTGAGGTAAATCCAGTGAAACTCTGAGCATGAGGCAACTGATAACCAGTTTTATTTTTGGCCAAAGTAAAACTAAGCAACCTTATCACTCCTACCGTAAACAGTCTGATCGAGAGAAAAGCAGGCACACATGCAAAAAAAAAAAACCTACCCTTTCCTCCTCTTCTTATAATTTTACACACAGCTTGCACAGAATGTCATTGTGTTAGAAACATAATCTCTATCTCTATAACCTCTATAATCATGATTTTCTCAGCGCTGATAACACTGAGGCTTACAGAAGGAAAGGATTATATTTACTGGCATCTAGCCCCGAGCTTTGCTATCTTCACTTTAGATAAAACAGATACAAATTAGATTTAAAAAAACAACAACAAATTAGATAAAAGAGCCAGAATTCACATTTTGCACTTCGCAGTGAGTTACTTAGCTAGGCTACTTGGGCAGTTAAATAATAGATAACAGATAATCAGTATTGGAAGGGACCTTGTAGGTCATTTAGTCCACCCCCCATACCCAACCAAGCAGGAGACCCTACACCATTTCTGACAAATGGCAGTCCAATCTCTTATTGAAGGTCTCAAGCGATGGCGGCTCCCACAACTTCTGAGGGCAACTTCTGTTCCATGGGTTGATTGTTCTCATTGTCAGAAAGTTTCTCCTTATTTCCAGGTTGAATCTCTCCTTGTTCAGTTTCCATCCCTTATTCCTTGTCTGGCCTACAGGTGCTTTAGAAAATAGCTTGACCCCAGGAATGGGATTCAAATTTTTTAACAACTGGTTCTGTGAGCTTGGCTTACTTGGTGGGCATGGCCAACTCAATATCACTCACATCGAGGCACGCATCTCCTCGCCTGGCCTCTCATGACTGTGGGGATGCTGCAACAGTCGTAAGTGTGAAAAATAGTCATAAGTCACTTTTTTCAGTGCCACTGTAACTCTGAATGGTCACTCCACACAAGCAAAGTATCAGCAAAGGAGGGGAAAAAACCTCCAGAGACGTTCCTGAGAAAGGAAGTCTAGTCCTGCCAAGAACGTAATAAGGGTTAACGGAGAGGCAGTTTCTGTAAGCAACACCAGAATGTTTCCTTCCTACCTTCCTTACAGGATTAGGCCAGTAATTTCTTCTAACAACCAGTTCTCCAAACTGCTTAGAATGTTAACAACCGGTTCTAGCAAATAGGTACAGACATGGCATCCCCTCAAATATTGGAAGACTGCTATCATGTCTCCCCTGGTCCTTCTCTTCCCTAGACTAGCCATGCCCAGTTCCTGCAACCGTTCTCCATATGTTTTAGTCTCCAGTCCCCTAATCATCCTGGTTGCTCTTCTCTGCACTTGTTCTAGAGTCACAACATCTTTTTTATAATGTAGTGATCAATCCTGGATGCAATACTCTAGGTGTGGTCTTACTAAGGATTTAAGAGTGGCATTAGTACCTCCCTTGATCTAGATTGTGTCCCTCTGTTAATGCAATTTAGGATTGCATTAGCCTTTTTGGCTGCTGCTGCTGCTGCACATGGCTGGCTCCTATTTAGCTGGTTGTCCACTAAGACTCCAAGATCCCTCTCACAGTTCCTGCTATTGAGCCTTGTGGCTTTATCTTTGCAAGTTGTGCATTATATGGAGCTCAGCTCAGCAGGGAATCCGGAGCTGAGTTGGGTTGCACTCTGTACGTGCTCTAATCCTTTCACAAGTTAACTCCTTCCATCTGAGCTGGGTGGTTGTGTGAGTCCAAATCCTGCGTGTGTTTTGGGATGAACACACTTCAGCTTCCGTAAATGTCCTCCTGGGAGACGAGGCTCCTTAGATGAGTAGGCAGAGAGTCAGGGAACCGTTGGGGAAGTTTGAAATCCTATTTTCTTCCCCTTATTAACTGTAAAAGAAGATCTGGTCTTAATCTTCCTAGGGACTGTCACAAGGGCAACATTAAAAAAATGGGGAAGCAGCTCATGTCTGGAGCCTCTTCCTCTATTGCTTTCCACTTTGGGCATAAATGGATTCCTTCATTCCTCTCTCAAACCTTCCCTGCCCCAAATGCGAATATTATGGTCGTCAAAAGAGCGTCCTTTTCTCTTTCCACTGAAGCAGCTTACTTGGGAAAGCAGTGAAACTGCTTCCAACCCAGAAAGGAAAGCAAAGAAGGCCAGTTGCCATGACTACAGACAACATTTTCACAAGTGGATTGCCCTTGGCCTGATATTAAAGCATTGAAAGACTTGGGGACTTCGACTCCCAGAATTGAAGTCCACAAATCTTAAAAATTCCTACATTTGGAGAGCCTTGAACTAAGATCACCCTGGCTTTCTCAGAAGCTGAGGAAACCACATATCGTCTCTGAAGAAAACCAAGGAAAACCACAGGGAAATGCCCAGGAAATCGCTGGAAGCCAAGGGGAGATTTTATCCTGTACCAGCTCAGGGGACCTTCAAACTTGACAGCTTTAAGACTGGTGGACTTCAACTCCCAGAATTCCTCCACCAGTCATGTTAGCTCAGGAATTCTGGGAGTTGAAGTCCACAAGTTTGAAGACCCCTTGCTGTACCGGGACAGGGTTGACAAAACTGCTTCTTCCATTTCCCTTTTCCCCAGAGAGTCTTGCCTAGTTAAGTACACAACCGGCCCTCATTTGTTGACATAAAGACCAGCTGTTCTACCTTGCCCTGGATCTATAAACAGATTATTATAACAGGTGGTTTCAGATCAGGAGTCAGCCGGATCCGGAATGGGGGAAGAAGATCAACAATCTTACGAGGCGAATAAATGGTTTTATTCCAGAATGCAGCACTGGAGATAATTGAGAGAGAGAGAGAGAGAGACAGGCAGGCAGGCAGACAAACAGAGAGAGAGAGAGAGAGAGACAGAGACGGACACACACACACAGAGACAGACAGACAGACAGAGAAACACTGACAGACAGAGAAACACAGACCGAGAGAGACAAAGAGACACAGAGAGAAATAAGGGTCTTCAAACTTGGCAAGTTTAAGACTTGTGGACTTCCACTCCCAGAATTCCTGAGCTACCATGATCGGAGCAGGAATTCTGGGAGTGGAAGTCCACAAGTCTTAAAGCTGTCAAGTTTGAAGACATACCCCCCCCCCGCCCCCATATAAGAACAGCAGGTTCGAATCCAAGGACGCCAATCCTGAGCGATCCTCCTTTAGGGCAGGCAGATCCAAGGAGAGTTTCTCTAAGGGATCTTCGCCTGCACTCCCCAGGTCGTTCGATAACGAGGACAGGGGTGGGAGGTGGGGAGGGGGCAGAGGGAGGGAGGAGATTTCCTGAATAAATTATGGCCAGCCAAACCAAGGGGTCTGCAAAACAAAAACAAAAAACAAAACCCACGCGTCCCAGACAGCGCTTACCGGAGCAGCCCAGCAGGTAGAGCAATCCCAGCAACGCCCGCCAAAGCTCCATCGCCAGCCCGCGCGCGGGATCCTCCTCCTGCTCGACTGCAATCCGTCCGAGATATAAGAAGCCTGCACCGAAGTAGCGCCGCCCCCCCGAGCAGTTTTGTTTTTCATCGCTGAACAATCAAGAGATACGAAAGGGAAACGAAAGTTTTAAAAAGGTTTCGTTATCCTAATTGGTATTAACATTCAAGATCGTGAGGTACTAATACCCACTCTATAAAAGCAGGGGTCTCCAGCAATGCTGGCCAGAGAGTTGTGAGAGTTGAAATCCACAAGTCTTAAAGTCGCCAAGTTTGAGGATCCCTGCTCTACCAGAGTCCTTTATTTCTCCTAACAAAAGTTCCAGCCAAGGAGTCTGAGTGGACAACCAGCTA